TCTATATATTACTCCTGTGATTAATTTTTCTCTACCGTCGATTAATTCTATCCAAATTGATTCTGTATTCCGCTCAGTTTTTATTTTCTTATTTATTTCACACTTCAGATTATCCCTAACATAGATTGCTACTCCGCCTCCTTTCCTGGTCTGCCTCTCGGTATGGAACAGTTTGTAACCCGCAATTTGGTATTCGACTGGTAATTCACGTGTGTCTAGGTTGATCCATGTTTCAGTGAATGCAATTATATCGATTTCTTCGGTACATACTAAGGCCCTAATATCATCCATTTTGTTTCTCATACTTCTACTGTTAGCGTAGTATACATTTAAGTTAGTCGTGTTCTGAGTCCTCCCCTTACCGCGTTTAGTTTTAAACTCCCTGTCTAATTTAGTTTTGTCATCATTCCTAACACTATTTCCCTGTAATCTTTCGCCTTGTTTACCCGCTCCCACTGCAGTCTCCTCCACCCCCGTGCTCCTATGTTCTCTTAGCAGTTTAAAGACTTCGATATCTTTTGAACTGCCCCCTCTAGAGCCCCAGCTAGGGTTGCTACTCCATCCCTAGACAGGTGCACCCCATCCCTAGCATAAAGGTCCCTTCTGCCATAGAACTTGTCCCAGTTGTCAATGAATGGGACTGATATTGACTTGCAATATCTGTCAAGACGGTCGTTAACACCAACTGCCCTTGACAACCATTCACTGCCAACTCTCCTTCTAGGCAGGACACCGCATATGATAGGGATCCCTCCCTTAGTCCTAATACGATCTATGGCTGCCTTGAACTTATCAAGAAGTTCCTCGCTCCTACACCGGCCAATATCATTGCCTCCTGCACTGAGGCAGATAATGGGTTTGTTCCCATTACCAGACAAGATATTGTCCATCCTGTCAATTATATCCCCCACCCCAGCCCCTGGCAAACACACCCTCATCCTATTTTTGTTTTTACCACAAAAGGCCCTGTCCATGTACCTTACCTGTGAGTCACCAACAATTAAAGTTTTTATACCTTCCTTGTCATCCCTGCCCCTGACTGTACTAACGTCCAATTCGTCTATCAAGGGACTGAACGGGTTGGTACACTTAGCTGCTGTTGTCGTTGTTGTCGTATCCTTTGAGTGCTTCTTGACCACCAGCCTGGTCCTCCCACTACTCACAACTTTCCACTCGTTTGATTTTTCGTCAGACACTGGCTTTACTCGTCCAGCCTCTCCTTTTAACTTCGCCCAACTATAATACCCTACAGTAATATTCACCCCACCCCCTCGAAATCGAGGATGGCCGGCCCAAGGGCCTCCTAGGCGTGAATTTGTTAAGGTGTAGAAGTTGTCACCAACACAACAACCACACCCTAAATTAACGAGCTGCATGACCCAGTGTCATGGAATAGTCCGAGAAGACCGGACAGCTCGCCAACTGCACCGGCTAGCCATTACCCCGGAATACGATCCGCAAATCGATTAACATTCAGGTTCCCAATTACTGCTGGGTAGACAGAGGCAAATGGAGTAAAGAAACTTGTCCATAGTTTCACCGAACTCGGGTCCGCTCGCTTGCGAGGCGAGGATGTCGACCATTACACCACAGGTCGCCACAGCTTCATCATTAGACCCACTTGACACACATGCGCGATTTAGAAATTAATGCAGTTCAATGGGACAGCAAATACACAAAAAAATTCCTAAGCAGGAGACGGTCACCTCCAAGCCTGTACCTGCACTTCCAAACAATGGTGTGATACAATACACCGAGTATTGTAGAATTCTTCACGTGATGTACATTTTTTCCTGCACGACAGTTGTAGTGCATCTATGGTAGGGACCGGGAGTGCCTGTGAGTATTTTTGTTAGACGCACACGAACTGAAGCGTGAGAAACACGTCCGTGTGAACACATGCCTTCTCCTGCGGGGAGCTAAAATGTTCACGTGAAGTAGGCCTGAGTAAAGCCCTATGTTATGAACATGTGTGTGTGCGGACTTATTTTCTGCTATTCTCTTATATGCTCACATAATTGTTCATACAGAATGTGAAAAAATTAAATAAAAAAAATATTATCTTAAAGTCTAAAACTAAAGAGAATAAAAATAACTTACATCAGCAGGAGTAAGTGAGGCAGAGGTGTGGGGCTGGGCCAAGCTGTGTTAGTGTTTTAACTTGTTATCTGGAGTAGATATACCGTCCGTATCTTTATTAATTCTGTTGCTCTGTTACACACAATCATTCATACAGAATAAATAAATAAAATAGATGATTAACCTAAGTTCAAAAACATAAAGGGAATAAACATTTCTTACATGTGCGGCAGTTAGCCAACGCTCCCGACCAGTTATAGTCTCACCGTGTTGCAGCTGTTAATAATAAGAGTAGCAGAGGTGGTGTCTTGTATTTAACGCCTTCAGCCTCCAATACACTCTTGTAGTTCACCTTGAAGACTACAACTACTCTTCGTATGTGAGAACCGTGACAGGTAAAGTATGACACACAGATACTTACAGTGAGCCATGCACTTCATAGCTGTGAGGATCCAATTAGGAAGGTCATCTGGGTGACCATCAGGGGCCAGCACCACACCCCTCGAGGTCACTCTGGTCATGTTGTGATGCACCCACTCCCCCTCCACCACTCTGGGGTCCAGTATGCACGATGTGTCACCGAACAATAAGCGTTCACACACTGAATCTAACCTGTCAAATACAGTACAGTAAAGACATCTTGTACAGTTTGTTTTTTACCAGTTCAGTCATGTTATATATTTATATAATTTTGTCCTATAAAAAACACTGCACTTTTAATTAGGGGATCTCAGCCGCTCCAGTCCTGTGTGTCTAGTGAACCTATTGCCAACTGCCAATGAAGATTTTTCTTTTATTTTCTTTAACCATTAGGCCCCGGGTGACGTTTCAGAGCATCTGCCTATTTTCCCGCCATATTTTTTATATTATTATTTTTGGAAAAGTTGATTTTTTCCTCGATTTAACCCCGCGAGTGTGTGTGTGTGTACTGCCAGCAGCGCCCTAACCCGGGGCTTAAGAGTTAACAGTAAATTTTTTTAATTTATTCCTCACATTCATTAGTACAGTAACACCCCATTTAGAATATGGCATTCTATGGGGTCAATATACCATAGCATATAGGGAGAGGTGTTCCTGATGATGTATTTTTAACCTATGAGATATAAAGCACAGGTGTACCCCAAAGATCCGACCATTAGGATATAGAGGCAGAGCTGTTCTGAATTTGGCAGGCGGTGGCATGGTGCAAATTCTTGTCACCAGAAGACTCTACACGCTGCCCTAACTCATTCCTGCCATCTTTACTCTTGTTTACACTCACTATGTGTCTCTGACTTCATGTTTTTACATTACCTCCGACTTAGTGTGTTACTCAATCATGCTTAACACCCCAGTTCCTCTTGTGCTGGGCAGCTTGATGTGATGTGATAAGGTGTAATAAGAGTGGTGATGGACCAGCAAAGAGTGGTAGAGACTTGAACTTGCCACCCTAGACTGTCCTCAACACAGGTAAATAACAGTCTCAATTTATGCTTTACATTGCTTATTTAAGGCTTATTATGCTTGCTTTATGTCTGCTTGACAGTGTGCAGTACAGAGACATCAAGGGTAGATGGGAGTTTTTTGAGGATGGCCGGTTCCTCACCCCCTGAATTTGTTCTATGGTCTTATGGGATATTTGCTTCAGTAATTGTTGATTCACTAACCAACAACTTTTCCTATTGTCTATATGCATTGGTTGTTGGGGTATGCCTGTATACAGTAAAGTATTGTATATGAAGGATACAGGTATTAATAAACACAGATTATTACAGTAATATATATTTACTAATTAATGAATAACAAATAAGCACTATTGTATCAAGAATAACAGTCGTTTGATGAAAGAGGGTGAGACGCAATGGATGGGAGGGAGGGAGGTGGGAGCCAGTGGATACCATACAGCTCTGCTCTGGCTATAGTTAAGCCATCTCTGCCTCACTGAAATTATGATTTAGGTGGTGAGTGATAATAGAGGTAGTGTGATGATGGAGGTGGTGGTGAGGGAGGTGGTGGTGAAGGTGGTGGTGAGGGAGGTGGAGGTGAAGGTGGTGGTGAGGGAGGTGGTGGTGAAGGTGGTGGTGAGGGAGGTGGAGGTGGTGAGGGAGATAGTGGCTGGATTATCAAGGGGGCACAGTGACCAGGGCCTACGAAGGTTTAAGGGACCTATAATGTATGTGTTTTAACTGTGGTCTGGCCTATTAGCCTTCATGTTCCAACAGGGTAAAGGAAAATAATCGATAAAGTTGACAAGAGAGAAATAGATTGCAGTCATAAGTCTAAGTGATTATAAACATTAATTTAGTGCCTGTTTGGTTAGTGGTAAGACATCCTTTGAACCTGACTGGCCAGAAACTAACTATGATTGAGTAGAAGTCACAAGAGACTAAATAATCACAAATGAATACCTTTATTCTTAGACATACTGCAAAACAAATGTAGAGTTTTTATCAATCCTCAAAATAATAAGCAACTGAACCCAACCTACTATTCATACTGTTACCCATAGGTGGCAGCACGCACGGTGTTGGCCTGATGGTAAAACTTAGGGGCCTACGATAAAAAAGTGCCCAGGGCCTACAAAAACCTTAATTCGGCTCTGGATGCATCTCTTGGTAGCACTGCCAAGCTCCAACTGTTGTTCACCACTCATTAGCAAGGGATTTAGTTATTATTTATATGAAAATGTAATTTTATTGTATTTTTTATTATATTTTGGTCGTAAATACGAATGAAATAAGGACGTGAATTGAATTGGGTCCGAAATTAACTAGGGTTTTAAATAAGAAAAGTTGTTGGTCGAACCATTGTTATCGGAGGCTTTACTGTACATTGATTATTTTATGATATAATGAAAATAAAAATACAAACACTTGAATTTAACTTACCACAAATGATGTTGAGGGCTGAGTTAGGTGAGGTAAGGTGGTGCTATAGAGTTACTGGGAGGGACACTACTGGCTCCTGCCTCGCCCTGTACACCATCATCTGCTACAGGTCTTGCTCTTGGCGTTGACGGAGCATTTTGTCCTTGTACGGCTCCCTGTAGCGGTTGAGGCTACTCTGTATTTCTTTAGAAACCGAGGTTGCGTTCACTATCGGGATCGTTAGTGGCAAAGATTTGCAAAGTTTCCTCTACAAGCATAAACCCTTTAGCCAAATGCTTTTTTGTCAACTCGAGTGTGATGGGTGGAACTTCTTTATTGTCCTCTCCTCCTGCAACTGTTCCACCAGCATCAGACCCTCATTAGACAGATCTTCTCTATGGGCCTCTAATAACTCAACCACATCATCTTGGATGACTTCTTCAGAGCCAACATTATTTACAAGTGTCACAATCTCTTGGTGAACTTTATTAATAGTTTCTGCTTGGGGAAAACCTTGAAAGTCGTTGACACACTCTGGCCATATGTTCTTCCACACACCATGCATAGTTGATGGTTTAACTTCATCCCACGACTCAGTTATGTTCTCCACGGCGTTCATCATGTTGAACTTTTTCCAGAAGTCCCTAATTCTTTGTTTATCCTCCCCACCAATTGCTGCTATGGCCTGTTTAAATGTTCTTCGTAGGTAATAGGCCTTAAAGTTTGTAATCATACCTTGATCCATCGGCTGGAGCGAGGCAGTTGTCTTCTTGGGTATATATTCCACTCGTACTTTATCAGAAAGATCATTTGGGTTAATTGGGTGGCTGGGTGCATTATCTAAGAGCAGCAAAGCTTTGTTGGATATATTTCTCCTGTTACTGTACCTTTCAACAGCAGGGGCAAAATAGATTGTGAACCAGTCTTGAAAAAGGCTCATGGTCAACCAAGCTTCCTTGTTTGATTGCCAAATCACTGGTAGTTTAGGCTTGGAGTAACCCTTGGAAGACCTTGGATTTTCAGAATGATACACCAGTAGGGGCTTTAATTTCATATCACCAGCAGCATTTCCTCCCAAATGAAGAGTTAGACGATCTTTAGAAGCTTTAAAACCTGGTGCCGACTTTTCTTCTTTGGAAATGAACGTCCTAGCAGGCATGCGCTTCCAAAAAAAGTCCGGTGTCATCCACATTGTACACTTGTTCTGGTGTGTAGCCGCCTTCAGCAATAATTTTCTTCACCTCTTCCGGATATTTACGTGCAGCTTCTGTATCAGCACTGGCAGCTTCACCGACCATCTTAATGTTATGCAACGCTTCTTAAGCCTTTCAACCCAGCCTTTATTAGCCTGAAGAGGTTTAGCATCAGAACTTACACCTCGTTCTTTCTACAAATCCTCGAACAAACTTTTTGCTTTCTCCTGAATGATCATCGGGCTTAGCGACACATTCCGTGTTGTTTGGTCTTCAATCCACAAATTCAAGTCTTTCCACATTAAGCATCACATCACTTCTATGAAAAACAACGTATGGCAGTTAAAGGAGTAGCCAATTGAGCACTTGACCTAATTTTGTCTTTATTATCAGGTATTGTGCAGACAGGCCTAATGTTTCTACAATCTGGCCAAGGTTTTCTCTCTCACCAAACCTCCGTACAACATCAAGCTTAGTGTCCAATGTAATTCCTTTACGGGATCTTTTAGCACCACTGCTTTCACTTGAACTTGATGGCTGCCTCTTTCCACTCATCTTGAATAAGGGTACACAATAATACAGTCCTTAATACAGAAGTATGTAAGTGTCGCGAGACCAAGTGCACAAGACCGCACGTGAGTTCAAACAGAGCGGGTTGGCGTGGCGAGTGTACAGTCTTGTAGCAACCCCCAAGAAATCCACACAAAATAAATTTTTATAATTTTTTTTTTCTAATAGTAAAGTACCCGGTATTGAAAAAAAATTAACTTATAATATTTTTACCCAATTTCCGTATTGGAGAATTTTTTGTCCGTATCCCAGATATATGGGTCATAATTTACAAAATCCTTAAGAGCGAATTTCCGTAACCCGGGGGGATGCCTGTACCGGTTCTCTTTTAATAATTGTTTCCCAATTGTCATCTTGATTTTCTAGCAGGCCAGAGTGCTTTAGAGCCACAGTGAGGTGTAGAACTATTGGGCTGGAGGTGATAAGAGTGGTAGCTTCCCCAAGGCCGTCACCACCCACGGTTCGGCAAAATCGCCGGTCCGGCCCCGACGGTGCCAGTAAATCAGTGGTCGACCCGTACACAATGCCTTTTAGGAACACATCCTTTGTTATAACCCAAGTATTTCTGTATATGGTAAATATGCCATAGTATATATTAGTGTTGTTACACAGTTTTAAGGTATTGCCACTTGGAAATACATATCACAAGTGCAAAAATTTATTAATAATAAATAAAAAACAAATTCCAAGAAAAATGTATGAAATTTATGGTGGATCAGGAAGGTTGGACCTATATACAGTATACTGTACACGGTAGAAGGGTCATTGGCAGCTGGGAAGTACGAAGGAAAGAAATTTAAGCATAAAAAATAAATTGACTAATGGCACAGAAGGATGAGCAGAGCATTAAGTCAACAGGAAGAAATGAGATGCTTGTGATCACCATCTGTGGCTACCACGTGTAGGGTGTGAAGTGGTGCTGAGTGTTACCCAAGTGGTGCTGGGTGATGAGTGTTACCCAAGTGGTGCTGGGTGATGAGTGTTACCCAAGTGGTGCTGGGTGATGAGTGTTACCAAAGAGGTGCTGGGTGATGAGTGTTACCCAAGTGTTCCACAGTGTTTAACCCTCTCATGGTCTTTCGACACAACTGTTGTTACTAAGCGCTCCTGTGCTAACACGACTCCTACCACTCAGCTGTATCCCACACTGAGAGTAACCCTCCTATAAGCAGAAGGGCCAGAACACTGCACCGGCCCCATCCACCACCTTAGTTCCTCCCACTAGCCTCATGCGCTGGCAGATGCATCTCTAAGGGTCTGGATCGCTCAACCCGGTGTTGACTAATATGAAAAAGTAGTTCCCGCTACCGTCGCAACTTGAGCCGAAAGACTGCGAGGAGGCGAGATTTCCGACCACGGTCAGGAGTACCAGAGGGTTAACTGTTCAGTGCATGGAACCATCTGGTGCTCAGCTCACACACTGTCTACTGCCAAGCTTGTTAAGATGTAAGAGTAGCAGAGAGGAGGACTGTTGTTAGCTTCAGAAAGAAACAAGGTCAAATAATCCTATGAAGCATGCAGAGAGACCAACTGTTAATATAAAACAAAGAAATGGCAGGTAAAGCTTAGTGTAAGTAAGCCTCATGACAGGAGCTACTGGCAAGATAAACAGTAATTAACAGGAATTAAATGAAAAGAAAATTCTGATAACAATATTTATTTTTATAACAATTTAACAAAAGCTACATTACTGGTATGTGACTGGGAATACTGCACTTAAGCTGCCATTTATCATGCTCTGAATCCTAGCCCCGACTTACTTGCCAAGGAGGACGTGTTTCCATACGTCATTTGTTTCAGCCTTGGACAGTTGCTTGGCTACTAGATGGCACTCCTGCATACCTCCACGATCTTTCACCTCATTAACTGCGTTCTCCCCAGAATGAATTGATGCCATCCTCTTGGGCCTGTTCTTGGTGCGCAGTGAACCTTCCCCCTCTCTCCCACCTTCCTCATTCTGGGTTCCTTTGGATGGCTGAAAAATAGAGATGATGATAATAATAATAATGATAATAATAATAATAATAATAATAATAATAATAATAATAATAATAATAAACGGTTTATTAATAGAGTTGCAGCCGGTGGCTGAAAATATACAGACTTACATTTGATTTAGACATAATGATATAATATGCATTGAATACATTTACAGGGCTGTACAGTACATAAATCAGGATTTGTTTATTATTTTAACAATAGATGGGATGGTGCTATTCTTATATCTATCGGTGCGGGCTCTTATGGGCTGAATTTTGTTGTAGCGGCGGACTGCGCGAGGTGGGTGGGGGGCTGCAGGTGGCGATGACGAGGGTGGTGCAGTTGTCCCCTGCCAAACCTTTCCAGTGCTTGGTGGTGGAGGTCACTGAGGGATGGCATTTCCAGGGTGGAGAGAGCGTTGGTGTAGCCGGAGTATTCTGCGCCAAGCATGATTCTGCAGGCCTTTTTCTGTACCTTCTCTAGCTGACGTTGTTGGGTGGAGTTGAGAGAAGACGACCAGGCTGGTGACGCATACGTTAGTTTGGGGAGAATAAAGGCGTTGTAGATGGTCCTCAGCTCTGGCGTGGGTGTCCCAAGTGACCTAAGTCGACGTAGCATGTAGAGATGGTACGAGGCTGCCTTGACTGTGTTATTTACATGGGCCTTCCAGTCAAGTTTGTTGTCTATAGTTACACCCAGGAGTTTGGCAGACTGCACCAGCTGGAGAGGATGGGCACCCACTGTGACTGCGAGTGTTTATCATTACTCGGCTCAATGTCGTCATGTTCTACGAGTGAATCTTGACTGGATTGTGAGCGCTGTGGCTAAGACTTTAAGTAATTTGTTTTTTGTGGAGTTTGATGACAAAGAGTAAAACAGTTATGAAGGAAATGGTATGTCACAATATTGGTGTGACTAACAACTCAACCTCACAACAGGGAACAGGTAGTAGGCAGCTACCAAACAGGGAGGTACTACCGCCTGGGCAGATAGTGGAAGCATAATGTGTTGTCTAATGGTAGACCCTGCTGCCATATGTGACCAAGTCCCAGGTTGATGATCTGACTTTACACTTCATTAAAAAATAAATAAAATAAACAAACATACATTCATATATATATATATATATACTGCATACAGTTGGGTCTCCATTTACACGGTCAATTGAACCCGTGGAGGTCCGCGTAAAACGAGAAATGCATAAATTAAATAACAGAACATTTGGGATTAATTGAATTAGAGACTGGGCCGACCCCCAAACTCCATTTTTTCCCGACATAATACCTACGTTGTAGTAAAAATAACATCTTAATTTTATAATGGTATGCACACATAATTAATAATTAAGAGAAATATCAATAATATTAGGTTTTTCAACACTTACGTTATTAGAAAAGCTGGATCGGCACACGTGGATGACGGCTGGTTCCGAGGCAGAGGGCAGATTAGTTGCCCTCCGGTGAATCACTTTCACTACTCACAGAGGTTTGCAGGGCCTCCCTGACAAACCCTTCAAAGTCCATAGCCTCACTGTCACTATCACTGACTTGGGCTGGCTGTGGTTGTGGTGGGTTGAGAGCGAGGAAGTCCTCAATACTACGTTGACGACTAGCATTGATGTTGTCGTGATAGATCTGGATATACGGCTCCATAATTTTCGACAGAAGGTTATTAGACGCTTCATACCGATGCTTGTCTGGGTCGTTGTCAAGGATGAGCTTAATTTTCTCCCCCAACTCAATGATTCCCTTCACACAATCATGGCTTGGTCCAGGTAATTCAATGTTTTTCTCTGGTGGTGGGGGTCCCGCAGAAGCCATTGTGAGTTGTGAGGGGAATAGCGGGCACAAGAGAGAACTGTATACACGGACTGAGAACAATGAGACTGGCCCTGCTAGGTCAGCGACTTCTACCCTCTGGTGGCAGGGTACGTCATGTTACATTAGACCAATCACAGCTAGCGGCAGAGGGAATGCGTGGGTGGTAAGGATGCGTGGCCCAATCACAGTCCGATACGTCATATGACGTCAGCAATAACGTAAGAGCGGCCTAATGAGCACCACTCACCGCGGCGCTTCCCAGGTATGGTCGACAATGGACCGCTTGAATAAAAAATGGCGTGGAGCGTCTGGACCTCCAGCCATTCTCCGCGTAAATGACCAAATTTACCGCATACCATAATTAAAGCATTTACATTCTAGCAAGGCACTACGTAAATGACCAAAAGCGTAAACAAAATCCGTGTAA